GGGGGGGGAAAAAAAAAAAAAAAAAAAAAAAAAATCACCTGGTGGGCTGTGTTTTGCCCACCCCTGCCCAAGATACTGCTACTTACACAGCAGCAGGCTCTGCTTGACAGAAGCAGTGGCTCTTTAAACTCAAAGTGCAGGGGTGGGAGTAGGCAAGAATCAGAGATGAAGTGACCTCCTCTGGTGCCCTGGACAGAGCAGGAGGGAGGAAATAAGGCACCATGTGATAGCTATTGGGGGCAGAATCTTATTTACTTCAGCTAGCAAGCAGCAGCCCAACCAAGGGCAGCCAGTCTGCTCTCTAACTTCAGTTGGGGACAGACTCCCTTGAAGAAGCCCTGGGGTCCAGGTTCCCCAGGAGCACCCAGGGCTAGTAGTCCGCTAAACAAACAAACTTTGCCTTGGCAGGCAGCTGAATGACATTATATATTTTTTTCTTGAATATAACCTGCATCTTTCCCCCAAAAAAGCTGCTGAAAATCTGAGTGCCTTGCATATTCTATGTGAGGAAATACAGTAATTTAAACGGATGATTATATGAAGGCTTTAATAAAGTTCTTAGTTTGTAATCTGCAAAAGGAAACTCCTTCAAAACTCTTGTTATTGCTGTCATACACATAAGATTTTTTTTAAACTGTTTTCTTTGATTGTTCAAGATTGAATAGAATCAGGCAGAGTAAAGAAAGAAAAATAAATGTTTGCAAATAAGGAGAACGGTTAAAAGCCTGGAAAGGTAAGAAACAACATGGATATTAACCTTTCATTAGCCAGTTGATAATATAAAGTGGTCTTAATGCCAATTTGAAAGCAGGCCTTCTATGTACTATTCTATTATTTTGCAGTTAGGCTATGTAGAACCAGGTTAGACTGAATTAAACATCTTTCCCTGTCCTTGTACCCAGTCTTGATTTTTCCTAGCTCCACAGATTTCTCACCTATGAAATTTCTAAGACTATTTCTAGTTCTGTTTCCCTTAGCCTCCTTGCTTAATGTGACTTGGCCTAGTTCTTTGTAGTCTACTTCTATTAAGCAGCATTATGCTTCCTCAGTTCTACAATTTGCAATCTTTTCACCCAATGAGAGAATCATCACAACAATGCACAAAAAAACACAGGTTAGTTAATAATGTAGTATGTAGGATACAATTCACTGGAGTTATGGGTATGGAAAAAAGAGGAGCAAGACATTTTTACAGCTGTAAAAACTTGCATTTCAAAGCATGGAATTGGCCAGTACAGAACCACTAACAAAAGAGAGATGGCCATTCAATAAAGACAGATTTCACAAGGACGAAAAGGGGAAATATAATGGAAGGGTTGATATCTTGTTAGAGCAAAGTACTCTAACACAGTGTCCTACTTGCTAAGTTTTTCCCCACAGAAAAGAAAAGGAATGCCAAGAGAAAAGATGAAACGATGGAAGTTCCTTCATAACCAAAAGCCTGGCTTCTTCTCAAAGTCAAACTACAGTCTCCTTGTAATAAAGAGCTGGATGCAGATACACTGTGGGATACAGGGAAAGAGGCTTTCCTTTAACTATGGGCCTACCAGAATAAAGGAGGCAGGCAGCCAATTTTGTGGGCTGATCGTGGGGCTAGCTTCTATTTTCATGGACTTATAACAGTGAGGCCCCCCCATCACTGCTGATTAGCCAAGGGTGCTGTCTGTCATGCAGCCCCACCCCTCACTGCTGATTGGCTCCCACCCCACCAGGGAGCCAGCACTACTTTTATTTTGTGAATTCCACAGAGAGTGCTCACTTTCATGGACAATGCCCAATGTTGCGGTTTCCATGAAACCATGGAAAGTTTCATGGTTTCCATGAAATCACAATCACAATCTTAATATGCACCAAAAATGGATTTGGACCAAGTAATTTATGCAGAAGACAAGAGCAGTGAAAAGAGGCTGTCATATGAAAAGCAGCATTAAGTGACATACATAAAAAAACAAATAGTAGATAGGATGAGAAACTACTGATATGCTGACTAAAATCCACTAGGTGCAAACAAAGGGCTTGGATAATATCCTGATACTATGGGAAAGCTGGATTAACATCTTCCTTGAAAGAAATGTTCCACACCTGAATGAATTTTGATTTTCTTGAAAGGAGAATATCCCAGAAGAATTTTGTATCCACTGACACTGAAAAATGAAGTTGAAGTTCCAGTTGGCGGTGCGGAGGAAATCAGGAAAGATGAAAGCAAGATGAAAAATAGAAAAAAAATGGCTAGGTCATATGCCCAATGTGAAGAAGTTCCCAAAGCATCATGAAATGTAGAGTTCTCCAAATTAAATGCAGTGATCCTTCAAGAAGAGATTCTGGACAACTGGGGCATTTATACACTTACATTTTTATGCTGCGAGATTAATCGAGTCTACACTGCAAGCAAGCTGACGTGCACTGCATTGTGTTGTGTGCAGTTGTGTAAGCATTGAAAATGCGTGTCAGCATGCAGAAAATGGCAGCGGTGCACTTTTGAACTAAAACAGCTTCGATGCATTTTAGTTCAAAAGTGTGCCACAGCCATTTTTCCAGCACTGACACACCATTTCACCATTTATACAAATGAATGCATGGCAGTGCTTTAAAACCGCCTGCTGCTGCAGCACAAGCATATGTACAAACATCCCTGGTTACTAACTTTTAGTGTTAACAAGAATATTGATGTTGAATTTAGTAACCACCAACATGGCATTGAAGGAAGCACAGCGTTACTTAGCCACACTATAATAAAATTTATAGAACAGCAGAGTGAACTTGAGAGCATTAGTTTTAAAGTAAATACAGTGAAGACACAATCCGTGATCTGTGGCGAAAGGAGATATTACAAAGGCACGTGGGCAGAACCTTACAGCAACTCGTTAGATGCACTTGGGCTCCATCTTGCATTGAAAATATGAAACGGAACACAGGGCTGATCCATGACAAAACAGTGGGGAGAAAGCAGATTTATACCACCAGCCCAACCTTCAAAAGAAGTATGGAGAGGAACAAGGGGAGGAAGGGGACATTTTTGAGCTCACAGCTCTGCTGAGAAGCAAGATACAGGACTTTACCCAAGGAAACAAGAGCTTGGTAATTCCTCAGCATCTGGTCTCGGTAAAGCATCTTGTCTCCATCTTGCAGCTGCTCCCATTCCTTACGGGTGAAGTATAGTGCCACATCCTCAAAGGCCTCCCAGAGCTGTAATGACAAGCGTTACCCACTTAATCCCTTCTGCTCTATTCTCTTCCACCCCCCGCAACTCACTTGAAGGCTTACTCTGTATTAGACAGATGTACCAGTGTGGCTACCCTGGACAGAGGTGGGAAGTTGTGTATCCCTCAGATAACACAGCTGTTCCAGCAAAGTGTGGGGGTGGGCTCTGCTGACAAAGGAGTGCATTTGTCCGCTTCATCCCAGGGTGGTGGGGCAGCTACTCTCTCTGTTGTCACAAATTGCCTCTATGCTGGGGGCATTCCCATTGCCATTGCACCAAGAGAAAGTGTGATGAAAGTGGACAACCCCCTGCCTGGATGAGCAACCCCAAAAAATTATTTTTCCCTACAAGACACCGCCTTAGGAGACCCAGGGGCCTTGCAGAGCGGTGTCCCCTTTGTTTCCCGCATGGCTTGGGGACCAGGAGCTCTGAAGGGCCTATACCATTCTGGGGTTTGCTGTCCCTGCCGGACATGCGGGATCTCCGCTGAGGTCCTACCTGAGCCAGGATTGCTGTCGCCATCCCCACTGTGTCCCACAGAGGAGCAGGAAGGCGAGGCGAGGCAGGGGAAGGAAGAACACTGGTTTCTGTGGAGCGGTGCAGCTGGACACCGGGCGCGGGCAAGTCAACCTGGAAAGGGGAGAGAGAGGGGAGTGCAACAGTGCACCTCCCTGCACAGGAACGACAGTGTCACGGTTCCTGCCGCTGCAATCACAGCCCCAGGCGGTGGGACTCCAGGGAGGTCCCTTATGCCAGTCCGATGCTGGGGCCCGGGACTGGGAGTCATTTCACTGCCTGGGGCTCATTCACACAGCAACGTTTCCTCCAGCAACCCAGCACGCTCCTAGCAAGCCGCCTGCCCGGCCACCGCCCCACGAGCCCCGGCCTGTCCCGGCCCGGCTGCAGCAGCCCCCGCCGGCGGCGCTCGGAGAAGGCCCGGGAAGCTCCCGGGGCTCGCGACGTGCGAGCGCCTCCAGTCTCGCCCCGCGGCAGAGCGACCTCCACCCGCGGCCCCTCACCTGCGAGCGCGTCCCGGCCCCGCCTCGTCCTCCCCGGGCCCCGCCGCGGCCTCTCTGGTGGCTCTGGAGGACCGCGACTCTATGGTCGCTCGGCGAGGCTCTTCAAGGACGGCTCGAAAAAGCACATGGACGCCAACTGCGGGGAGCCCGCGGCCCGGGACCGCCCCCGCCCGCTGCAGGGATCTCATGGGGGCAAGGGGAGACAACGTGAGCACCAGCCTGTGGCAGAGGGGATCGGAGCGGACACACGTGCCCGAATTGCAGAAGAGCCCCTCCATCCCGGAGCGGCCTGGTCAGCCGTCTTTGGGTGCGTCCAAACGAGACGCCGACGTGACGGCGACGCTACTGCGCGGCGGTAACAGCGCTGTAGGAGCTGCCGAACATAACCGTGCGGCGACGGGACTGCGCAGTAACAACGGTGCGCTCGGCACCTTGTGTACATGCACTCGGCCACTTGTGTCGATGCAGCCACACGTAAGGCAGTCGTGGAAGATGAATCATCCTCAGCTGCAAGGGATGATGCCTGGATGCGTCAAGGGGTGATGCATGGGGGCCGATGATGATTCCTACTAGCCCAGGATCTGGTCCTGAAGGAGTCACTTGTGGTTCAGTGGTTTGTCTACACCTGGGTTCGATTCCCAGACACTTCTACAACTATTGCCATGGAAGCACCAAACATCTGGACTCAGTCTGGTCTTTGGATTCTGTCTCAGTGCCCTAAAGGGAGGGTGGCAGGTCTGGGCAGCCTGCACTCCTCCAGAAATTTCTGTCCAACTGTATGCATTCAAGTTCTGGGTGGCCCTCATGCATACACCATGATCCAGGAGGATCAACAGTTGCCCCCATCTGGTCCAGAGACTGCCACAGCACTATGGGCTGGAGGGGCCCTGCTGGTCTTGGTTGCGCAGACCCCTCCGCCTGCCTTCTTCCTTCCATGTGGGCACTTCCTGGAGCTGTCTTATCCCAGCCCTCTTCAGCCCATCTTTCACAGCCTTGTACGTAGGACATTACAGATAGCATGTCTATTGCCGATCAAGATCTTACCAATAACAGGTACACATGTTACCAGGAGAGGTATAATTGGCAATATCTACTTTGGTGGTAGATATATGATTTGTAATACAGACTTACACACATGATAAAACGGTGACAACTACGTATACATCATGTATTATATAAAATATATCAATTGCAGGTGCTTCAGACATTGATTTGTTACAAAGGACTAGTCACAGTTGTTGCACATCTATAGAAACAGCTATGATGCCAGCCTAGCCAGGACCTTTCCCTGTAGGGATGCACATTGCCATCCACGCATATTCTACTAAGGCTTATGGGTCACTATATCCAGATGATCTGTCCCAGAGTGTGCATCACTCATCTTTGCAGAGCAGCACAGTCCACTTGGCCCAGCCGGCCCCATTGTCCCCCTACATTTCCTCTACACCTGCATCATTTAATTTATTCTCAGCTGCTTCACTCCAGAGCTGGCTGCATTTTGGAACAAGAGAAGCCCTCCCCATACAGTCTTATGTTCACACACACTCCCACCACTGCACTTGAGAGTTGGATACATCTTAGGCAACTCGTATTGGGTATTGCACTCTTTTGGATTCTAATGAGATCGGGTATTGCAATTCTATTGCAATCTCATCCCTGTTTGACATTATAGGCAGCCAATCCTCAGTTGCCCCATCCCAGAGCTGGCTGCATCTTGGTGCTGTGTGAGCCCTCCCCCTGTGGCATCACTGTGTGGCTTTTCCCAGTGCATCCTATTCTAGAGGAGGCTGCATCTCAGCACTGGGCAAAACCTCCCTGTGCTGTGTTATATGTAGCCCCTCCCCAGCTGTCCTGTCCCTGAGATGGCTGCATCCAGGGCTGGGATCTGGTCTTCTGAACCCTGGGTCATTGGGCTATGCAGAGTGTGTCCAGGAGGGGACTGAGAGCTGGTGGCTGGAAGAAGGTCCTCACTGTAGAAGCTTGTAGCTTCTCCTGCTTTAGCTTTTTCCTTTCTTTTCTTCTCAAGTCATCCTGAATGACACCAGGGTCCAACTGACAGTCCAACTGACTCCGGGGTATTTGGGTTGGCCCAACCAACTCCATGGTGGTTCAGTCTGCCTGACTGACTGATTTTAGTGTGATCAGGTTGGTCCAACTGACTCTCGTATTGTCAGGTCAGACCCAACCATTCTGGAGTCTGACTGAGCCCAGAGTAGTGGGGTCAGTCAACCTCAGACTGATCAGCTGGTTTTGGCTATTTCAACATCTGAGACTTTATCCCTGTTGCCCATCCTACCTTTGCCTCCAGTGTTCACATCAGCATCAGCGCTGAGCACAGAGGTAAAGCATCTACTTAGCTCTTGGGCTTTCCCTAGATCATCTTTCACCTCTATCCCATCCTCACTACATTGTGGTTCCATTTCTCCTGTTTCTTGTATGACTGAAGGGTCTTTAGCTCTTTGCTGTCATTTCCTTTGTAACTTTTGTCTCAGCTTGACTTATGTCAGCTCTTACTGTGCCGCACACCTCTCCATTACCAGGATATACCTTTCTTTGCTGATGAGCCCCTCTGTAGGCTCTGCTTACTCCTAGCAGGGCTATTTGTACACTCAGGTCTGGAGCTATTTGCTTCAGTGATGAATATGAAGCCCCAATTCAGCTTGCACCTACTAAGAGTTACCATGAAAGCAAAAATTTGGAACTTCAGCATTATCCAAGTTTTGCCTAATGCCACTGGTATTAAGATGGGGCATGTCCTGATCAGTGCTTTTGAGAACCACCAGGCAAAGAAAGAGCACTTGGGTGCTTTGTCTTTTCATAGGAAAAGTGTAACTGTGTACAGTCAGTAACAATCCCACTGGATAAACAGTTGGTCTCGTACTGAAATATAGTAGGTATTGTTCATTGTTAAGATTGAGGTTTAATAATGCATCACAAATCACTAGCTGCAGTATGTTTCTGAATGTAACCATTATCATCTATCAAGATACATGACAATAAATTTTAGTTTTCTAATATCCATAGCACCGCTTGGTCATTGCTCCAAGGTTAATACACTGAAAGTTTTTACAATACCCTCACTTTCTGCCAGAAGGAAAAATGTCTAGCTGAAAAATGTCTTCTTTGACTAAGCAGCCCCTGTCCCAAATTTGGAAAGACCCTGGGGGTGGGCAGGAAGAAAACAACCAACCTCTCCCTTTCTTCCTTCACATACTATCCAGATTAGGTAAAGAAAACCTCTAATATACTCCCATCTCTTTTAGAACACCATGCACTTTCATAACAAAGCTGAAAAGCTTTAAAAAGGGTTTGTTTATGCTACTTAAGATGCCCTTGTAAGCCAATAACCTTACGGTATTACACAAATATTTATGGAATGTAGGCAATCTATAACTGACAGACCAATGGATCACAACTATATTTCTCTAGAAGTTCTCTGCAAATGCACCACCCACAGAAGTGCTACAATTTTTTTACCACACTGTTCTCAGGTTAGAGGAGACAGGACCAGTACTATAGACAACATGTCTTAGTATTAGACCTGAGGTGCGGAGGAGGGCAACTATACCCAGGTCATATTTGGTACCTTGGTAAATTATTGCTCTAGCAAATAATATTTCAGCAAGGTTAAATGTCAATTTTAAAGCAAAACCGAGATAGTATTCAAATCAATGCTACACTTTAACTGCAGACAGCTTCTTCATGATAAAGGAAGGAACTATCAACCTTTCTACAGAAAGAAAGGTCTAATCCATTAGGATTATATAGGGGGCTGAATAAATTAATGGATGATAGATCTATTAATGAACAGAATAGTGGGAGATGTTTTCTCTAGCATTCTTAAACTCAATAAATGGTGTATGCCATGGAGGGTACTGAAAAGGGGATAGGTCCCCACTATCCCACTGTCCAAACCCAGTTTATCCTGGAGTCATCCTCAATCAAACCCTCTCATACAAAACACACACCATGAAGATAAAAGCAAAGGTGAGCACTCATAGCAACACTGTATATAAATTAACCAACTCAAAATGGGGAGCCAGCCCCTCAACCATCTGAACTACTGCTCTGTCTCTCAGCTTCTCCTCGGCCAAGTATGCATGCCCTGTATGGGAGAGAACTGTATATACTAAGCGCCTTCACCCCATTCTGAATGATAGCTGCCAGTGCATCACAGGATGTCTGAAGCCTACCAGCCTAAGCAGTGTGTATCTGCTGGCTGGCATCACTCTACCTAACATCAGTAGAGCAGTGGCCAGCAGGACAGAATGATCAAGACAAACTGAAGATATAAGACACCCGCTGTATGACCATCCTGCAGTGCACAGATGTCTTAAGTCATGCAGGAGCTTCCTCACCAGTACCCAACCTCTTGATGCCATACCCAAAGAGACGTGGCTACAGATGTGAACAAGAGAGTGATGAAAATACTTGGCAATGAAGAAAGAGACATTCCAGTGGCCGAGTCCTTGCCACCGGGGGCTGACAAACCATGGCAAAGGTAGCAACGTCTCAGCTACCTATGTACCAGAGTTGGATGCCCCAACGAACTAATAAAAAGTGCGGCCATTAGTTCAAACGCTTCTGACTGTGGTACAGAGCCTCAAACAATGCCGCACCTGTTGCAATGCCTGCTGCTTGAAGGCACATGTACAATGAAAGATCTTGCAAAGTAGAATAAGCAAGCACAAGCATGTGTAACAAAATGGTCAAATTTGGCATAGACGCATAAGAAAAAGAAGTAGATTTCTTGAGGACCTGCTCCATGATCTTTCCATGTATTAAGGTCAGGCTGCCTGGTCTGAAATTTTCCTTTTCCCCTTTATTAAAAAGGGGTGCTATACTTGCCCTTTTCTAATCACCTGGGAACTCAAACAGCCTTCACAGCTTCTCAGAGAGGATAACTAATGGCTCTGGAAATACCTCAGCCAATTCCTTCAATAGCCTAGGATGCACCCCAGCTGGCCCTGCCGACTTGAAAGCACCTAGCTCCTCTAAGTAATCCCTAACCTGTTCTTCTACAACTCTAGGCTGTTTGACTCCTTCCTTATTTTTGCTAGATTGCCTTGTATAATATATTCCATGCTTCAAGTGCCCAACTCCTGCCAGAAAAGACTGACTCTTCTAGCTCTATCTCCTGCAGGGTAGGTCAAACAGACTGACAAAATTCTCTCCCCAGCTGGCCTTCAAGGTTCTTCAGACTGAAGACAGGAAAGAAATATTTTCCTCCTCTGTAGTGCCAGATGCCCATGGAAATTGTTAGGTATGTCTCTGGCTGTATCTCCAGAATATTATGTCAAAGCCACAAATCTCTCCAACAAATATGTTTCATCATGGCTGTAGAATTGATTCCAGGCCTTCACTGCAATGTATCTTTGAAAAAAAATGATATGCTGCTGGGATTTGCATCCTGAATAATAGGACCTACTGGCAAATAGACAGGTATAGATATCTCCTTCAGGTGCTGTAGAACAGTGGTCTCCAACCTTTTTAAGGTGAAGATCACTTTTGGAAGGAAAGGGCAACCCAGGACCTACCATGCCCCCACTCAGCCAGTGGCACGAGGCACGGAGGGAGATCGTCCCTCTCCCCTGGCCTGGCCCCAGTGGCAGGGGGCACGGCTCAGCCCTGCCACATGTATCCCGCCACTCCCAATCGTGAAGCCTATGACATTTGATTTCAGAGGCTCGACTGTCAGAGGCTCGCTAATCGACCATATGACATTTGATTTCAGAGGCTCGACTGTCAGAGGCTCGCTAATCGACCAGTCGATCGTGATTGACTCGTTGGTGACCACAGATCTGAATGTATTCCTTGCCTGAACTGTGAGATTCCTGGGGGGG